GACTTACTTAGGCCTTTTGGTTTTTAAGAGCTTTCACGAATACGGCGAACCCCCCCCCACCCCCGTTGGGGGGGGGGGTTCGCCGTACTCAGAATTTCTGTCAACTGTCTGACCTCAATTATATAATAATTGGTATTTTAAGTTCGACACCCACACAAGTCATGGCCAAAAACATCAATAGCTGGAACTTTTTAATATACTCATATTCTACATGTAGGAAGTTTTCAATTATGCTATAATTAAAGTTTGAAATATTTCAAGCATAATTATCGGTAGAGAAAGAGCGTTTGGATCCCATCTGAATTACTGCCATAACAGGTAGGTAATTTGTTAAATAAGTTTGTGTTTTACCTTTTAAATGAAGATACTGCAGGCTTATGTACTGTAATAAGGGATTTATATTTGAAAAGATAAATGGTACATCTATATGACCTATATCCAATCTTTCACTCATTGGCAAGCTCCTTGAGAAAATTGTTGCAAATCAATTTTTATCTTACCTATATAATTTTGAACTTCTCAATCCATTTCAATCCGCTTACAGAGTAGGTCATAGTACTGAAACGGCACTCACTAAGATTCATAATGACATTGTCAGGTGCTTTTGATCGCAAGCGTGCTGTTGCCCTTGTAATGTTAGATCTTTCGTCAGCATTTGACACAGTTGATCACCAAATTCTTTTACAACGTCTTTCTGTTTATTACAAAGTTTCCGACACTGCTCTTAGTTGGTTTAAGTCCTATTTAGATGAACGGACCCAGTTTGTAGAGATAAATAACATTAAGTCTGCCCCAAAATATCTTGAATGCGGTGTTCCACAGGGATCAATTCTGGGTCCCCTTCTCTTTTCTCTGTATATATCTCCCCTTACTGATTTAATAAAAAATCTTAATTTACAATATCATTTATATGCTGATGATTTACAAATTTATATTGATTTTAGTCCCTCGGAATCTCATGAGATTATTGCCCGATTTGAAGATTGTCTTTGTAAAATATCTTGGCTTTCTCATAACATGCTACGACTTAATCATACTAAAACTGAATTCATAATTTTCTGTACTAAACACCTTCGACCCAAAATTAATATTTCTTCACTTTCCTTTAATTCATGCACTATATTTCCTTCACATTCTGTTAAAAACCTTGGTGTTTTCTTTGATGAATCTCTTTGTTTTAATAACCATATAAGTCACATTACTAAAACTACTAACTTTCATCTACGCAATATTGCTAATATCAGAAAATATATTTCAAAACACACAGCTGCCGTATTAATAAATGCATTGGTCACACCCCATCTGGATTATTGCAACTCCCTTTTCTACTCGTTACCAAAAACTGCGATAAATCGCCTTCAAAATTCAGCTGCACATATTCTGACTCTTACTTCTAGACGCTCACATATATCACCGGTAATTTATCATTTACATTGGCTCCGTATTGAATCTCGTATCAAATACAAAATCCTGCTATTAAGGTTCAAAGCACTATTTTACAAACAACCCACTTACCTTGTTGAACTCATTCATGCGTATGCCCCACCTACTTGTCTCCGTTCTTCTGATAAAAATCTTTTAGTTGTTCCTAGGATTAACACCAAAACCTTTGGTTCTAGATCATATTCATTTTCCGCAGCATCCCTTTGGAACTCATTGCCCAAACATATTATCCAATCACCGTCAGTTGCTATTTTTAAGACAAAACTTAAGACGCACCTTTTTACCATCTAAATGTTAAGCGCCTTTGATTTAAAAATTTAAGTCTAACTTCGTACGGAAAATCCCTTACCTCCAAAAACATCTTAGTTGCTCGTTGTTGAACTTTCTCTAAGGAATCTGCCTCTCTCCTATAAATTGGTTTATAGACTACACTACAATATTCTAAAGTTATTCTAATTCTAAACTTATACAGTTTCAATAGACCTTTTTTCTTCAAAAATCTAAAAGACCATTTTATCATGCCCAATTTCATGTTAGCTTTCTTACAAATATCGGCAACATGCATTCTAAAATTAAGACTGGAATCAAAGGTAACTCCCAAATCCTTTACACTGTCAACTGCCTGAATTTCAATACCAAACATAAAATAGGAACATTTTGGATTATTTCTTCCATAGTGAACAACTTTACATTTGTCACTATTGAATGGCAAGTTCCATTTTCGAGACAACTCACATAGGGCATTAATAATCTTCCTAGAGACGGAATCTATCATCAACCGAGTCTACAACTCTAAAAAGCTTTGTATCATCTGCGAGCAATTTTACGAAGGAGTTAGATACTAAAGGTAAATCATTGATAAAAATAGTAAACAAAATTGGACCCAAAACAGAGCCCAGTGTGATACCACTTAGCACTAGGACTTTACTAGATAGACATCCATTTATTGAGACACGCTGTGAACGACCAGCAAGATATTCCGCAATCCACTTTAAAGTTTTATCTTTAAT